ATTACCTATGACATATTACCTCTGACATTTTTACCTGGCACCAAACAATCAGACCCATCAAGAGCCCGATTTCATCAGTGTGCATTTCAAGGGGATGTTCAACCTCGACCCTGTCCTCAGAAAATATCAACAAACTCAGCAAAAGAAAATTAGGAGATCAGGAGAAATCCTGGGTCTGCTTCCGATTTGTCACTGGCAAAGTGTAACTGGCAGACCAGAACCTATCATATCCAAGTATAGATGTCTGTCGGGCCCCCACTGCTGCACGTGGCTACTGGGGCTGGTTTAAAAGGGCCCAAAATACATTTGATTAAACGAACGAGATGCCACTCGAAACCAGTTTTACCTAAATGCATGAATGACGCAAAGCACTGAATATGGGCCAATGCCAGACAATTTTTCTGCTGCATAGGGATGACCAGGCGCCAAGAATTGGGGCCGTAACCTATTTTGTCGGCACAGACCCAGCTACAGGTATCACTCAAAACCGATTTTGAATGCTTGGGTTAATCTGACAGACTTCGTCGGAAATCGTCATGACAGACCGTTTTTTCTTGCTGCTTAGGGCCCGCCAGTCACCGAAGGAGGGGGTGGCAAATAGCCCATGAAAAAAACTAACGAGGTGCCAGTTGTAACCAATTTTGAGTTAATGCATGAATGCCACAATGCACTGAATAGCTTCACCATGCACCAGACGCCAAAATTGTGGTCCAAAGACCCATTATTGTAGCCTTGACCAAAGTAAAATAGGCCTATTCTAGGTACAGGTACCACTGAAAACCGATTTGGAATGATCGGGTTCATCTTACAGAATAAGGAAATCATCAGAATATTGACACATTTCTTGTTGATTTCCTAAAATTGTTCTATGCGAGGAATGTAGGAGCATTTTTTGATACATTTTCCATTGTCGTGCAGGTTAATATTACAGCTCGATTACCATCCCTACCCTGCTTCTCTTGACAGCTTCGCCCAGACTTTCGGGCGGGACTATCTCTGAATAATTCGATACGACTAGATCACTACACTGCATCAATGATCCAAACTTGTAGGTCCAACTATTGGTTAAATACTTTCAAATTTGGGTCGAAAGAAATTGCAAGCTAACACTACAAATTCTGGATCAGATTAGAGACGGAGAGAGATTTTTTTCTTTTCACCTTTTCCCCTTCACCTTTTACCTTTCAAATAAAGGCCTTTTATCGTGGACGTATCATGTTTATTTAGGGCAATGAATGGTATGAACAGTATACTTTGTGCACGGGGACTGTCTGCGGCGCTCATTTTCTTTTCTTTGTGTTACCATCAGGTGAATCTGATTTAGTTTGTGTACTTACAAGCTAAAGATTATTTTTTTGCCGGTTCCATCCTCGATCAGCATTGTCCACACTCTATCAAAGTTCACTGTCTATGCCCTCCAGGTCCAATTAATTTGCCACAATTATGGATTTTGGCTGCGAATGTTAATCTCGATGACTGCATGACGAGAATCCCCCATCATTTGAAAATTGTGTATTATGGTGTTATCTTTTCAAATTCATGTTTTGATATCATTAAAGCTTAAAGATAAGCTTGAGTTCCGACAGGGATAGAAAATATGTTCTCTCATAATCCAACAAGTCTTAAACTAAATTTTCAAGATTACAAATAAATGAAGTGTGCCAAACGATTTTGGTCGAAAATGTATAGAGGCTGAGTAATGAGCATATAGAAAGATAGAGCTGTAAGGAAATCAAGGTAAGTAGGCCCGAGGCCATTTGCTTAAAGAGAAGGCTGAGTTCTGGGAAGAGGTGAAAAATAATTTGTGAGCGTTATCATTCTTATTATGCAAGTGTGGAAGAACATCAGATAAGACATGTTCCCTGAAAAGCATGGCTCTTCAAATGCCTTCATGTTCTAAATATGTCATGTAACATCGTAAAACTCGGGGGTAGGATTTTTACGCCACGTGTTCGTGTAGTCCCATATACATCTTTCTGTGTACAGTGTTTGTAACTTTACCAAGACTTAGCCAAATTTCTTATCATTTTGATGATTCCAGAACCTTGCAATACACACAAATTCTTATATGCTAGATGATCAACCTTTTCTGGTCGATTCCACACCGTTTCTTTCACAATGCAATCGCATGACCAGAACTCAACTTCATCTTTAACGCAGGTCACTATGTGCACATGAGAGTTGTGGTTTTTATTGAAGATAATTTCCACCAGTTTTTTTGTGAGTTTTTTTGTTATTTTAATGGTTCAAAGTCAATCAATCTTCTGCAGGATAAATAATCCAGAATGAATTATCGTCATGTTCTCTCGGCATATAACTCCCATGCCCGAGCTCAAGATTAGCATTTCTAGTCAGACCTGGTGATGAACAGGAATACAACAAACTTAAACAAACCAAATCGTCCGTGTTTTCACGAAGTGACGGTAGTGAGGAAAATCGTAACGCAAAGTGAATGCAATTTTTTTTTTCACTACCGTCACTTCGTGAAAACAGCGACGAAATGCTAAATATATATTGCATAACGGGGCGCCCCCCCCCCCCCCCCCCACTATTTCCCCCAAACCTCCATCGTTAAGCTCGGGTCAGCGGGACAAGACTACTTTTACAGGGGCGTATCTGACTCCGGGTGGGTGACCTGGACTAAAAAGTTTCTAACTCAAGACAAATTCCTGGGGTGTTCTTTTAAAGGTAAAGTCGAGTTCTGGCCATGCGACTTCACTATGAAAAGGAACTGTCTAGAACTTAGAAGCGATCGGAAAAGGTTGACCATGTATAAGTTTTGGTGAATAATAATATTACGTGGTTTTGGGAAATTTGCCCAGTTTTGCTAAAAACTAAAAGTCACATGCATAGAAATATGAATATAAGACTACACAAACATGTGGCATAAGGTTGAGGTCCACAACCTGTAGATGTTACTTGTCATATTTTGAATGTGGGGGGGGGGGGATTTGAAGAGCCATCCTTCTTAATATGACTTGGTTACACGATATTCTTCCACTCTAACATTAAAAGAACTCACCAATTATTATTTACCTTCCCAGAACTCCACTTTCTCTTTAAAGTTAAAGTCGAGTTCTGGCCAAGCAATTGATTTAAGAAAGAAACTCCAAGCAATCGTCATTCTAATTGGGAAAGGTTTGTTATGTAGAACATGGGAATTGATGTTTAATTTGAGGTTCTAGAATCATGAAAAAATATTTTCCGTGATTTATGCAGAGCCATCCTATACCAGGCAGGATTTTCAATATGATATTATGTCTAAATAACATGTAAAGAAGAGAAAGGTCGCAGATTATTTTCCACCATTTAAAGTGATAGTTGAGTTCTGTTACAGAGGACGCTACACAAAATAGTTTTTTGTGAGATAATGAAAAACTGTCAAATGTGAAAGAACATACAGTTTAAATGACAGAATCATCTTTGTTTGATCAAAGATGGTTCAGAGACGGCTGAAATATCCATAAATATAACGATTTATAATACTTGTGTACCACCACAACTATTAGATAATTTGAACCAGCCGTTGGAAAAACAAAATAGCGCATTTTACGTTGTATTTCAGCCAATGCCGGTGTTGGTTTTTTTCCTGGCTTTTTCGTATTTGTTATATTACGCACAACCAGCCGACCCATGTCTTGTTATTATTAATTAATTAATTAATTAACGATCACCGTATTTTTTTTAAAGTAGAGCTGAATTAGTATGATCGTATTAGCTAAATTTCACACATTTTGGGGTCTAAAATTACCTTCATAGCAATTTTAGGTCCTAAAAGGGCACTAGAAATGTCATAGATAAGAATAAGAGCAATAACCATGCACTTTGACGGCATTTTCGATCTGAAAACAGAACTCAACTATCCATTTAATACCGGAACTCGACCTTAACCTTAATTTAATTGCATTCAGCGACATGAATGCGACTATTTAAAGGTTATCTCAAGCGTCTAAAATCAACATGGACTAATGAGTCGGAACTCTTTTCAAAACTCTGCGCATTCTTCGCACACTCTTTTGAAAAAAAGTACTACTCAACTGCAAAATTCTAAATGTTAAAGGGGGAAATTGATCATATTTATGAAATGGCCTACTCGTTATTAACACGTATTACATGATCGAATTTTTTTTTTTTCTCGAGATTTCGACAACAGACCGGTTTACTAACTAATTCAAATTTTAAGCATACTTTTTTAAACAAAGTTTGTTCTTGACAACCTGAAAGCTTACCCAATGCTTTCTCAACATAGCAAGAAATAATGTACACATACTGGAATCCAGGTATCATAGTTCATTCATTAATAACAGAGTTCTCGAGGAAAGAAACACCAATAATTTAAATATGTAAGTTAACCGGTCTTTACTCGAACTTTATTGTATGCTCCATCAAAATGTAATGGACAGGGTAATTAAACAATATTTCCTCCACCAAAATAATGTCCAAAGATAAGTTCTTTCCTTTTTTTTCCTCAAATCTAAATGAAAGTTGGGAAAGTCCCTACATAATAAATACGTTCTATTGTTCAAAGGCGTACGTGGGATATCAGGGTTTTGGGAATCTAATCTTTTATAATCTAATCAACAACAACAAAAATCTGGAATGATCGACCGTCAGGATTGAATTGCTTTTGAATGAAATGTACGTAGAAGTATGGCCTACTTGACACAAAACGACATGATACCAAATAAACATGAGTTGCAATATGAAACATAAAAGTTCTCATTTCCGAGGGGGGGGTCCAAAAATAAAGCCCCCAACATATCAAGCGCCTCTTTGAAGAAAGAAAAAAAGAGTTAGGAGAAAATCTTACAGGAACCCCACCCCACCTCTCTCAAAGAAAAGTATAAAATTTTGAGGCGCCTCTGGGGTCAACACTTAAACTTTATTATTTTCATTTATTTTGAACAGTTTCTCTTCTTTTAAAAACCTGAACAAGAAACTAGGAATCCAATTTACTTGGCCTGGCCTGGCCTGGCCTGGCCTGGCCTGAATAGACCTACCTTCTGCAGAAATCTTGGACTGATCCGCAAACCCCTCATGGGCGGACAGCTTCTGCATGAGCCGGACAACATCTTCGCAATCATCCACCCTTCCACTGCGTATGATATAGGACACCATGGCGAACCGTTTCAGCCTGTCACAAGGAGTTGTCCGCGTTTTGAATGTGAGTGTGTGGAGTGTGGTTAGTAGGTCGCACAATTGCAGCTGGACGTTATATCCTCTCTCCTATACTTGTGTGATCACCAGTGACAGTCAAACTCCGTGTCGTCTGAAATGAAGGGAGATAGTGAAAAGAAAATGTCAAATCGATTCCTTTTTTCCAACAGAGTGAATTCGATGAATAAGCATGGCAGTAGACTCTTCACGCACAGCAAGTTCGTACACGCAATAAACCATTCTAAATTTAGCAGTAACGTGGTCGGATATATTTCGCTCGCATAGCCCTAAACGACTATATTCTTGATAATAAAAAAATAAAAAAATTCTGGGTTGAAAGGAAATTGATCGTATATTTTCACACACCCACGTAGTAAGTAGTCTGCAGTCACAAACCCTTATCAGTCGATGCGCGTAAAAGCATCTGCAGTGTGAGACTACAGTAGACTATGCACTGGCTCTGCTCAGAGCTTTAGGAGTTGGGTAAAGTGTCAAATTAGAGTCTGTGCGAGGCCCTCTTCCGGGTTTGGGGATGGGCGGGCGGAGCTGATGTCTCTTGCTTAAATGTCAGCTGATTACTAACTGGTTTTATTTTATTTCAGTTAGGTGATTTGTTTTCCTTTTTAATATAAGCATGAATATGATAAACATAAATGCTATACAACTGTAATATTTTTTTAGATCAGAGAAACATGAAGAAAACGAGATGATTTTATTTAATTCGAATAACTCACTATCCGTTTCAATATAACAATGTACATGTCGACATGAAACTATGTGAAAAATTACGGAATTACTGGTTCTTAACAATAGGGGCTGTCCTGGGGGCTGTCGCATGCGGTTCACCACGAAATCATTCAAGATTATGGGCTGGAGCAGGGCAAATCCAGTGTTTGGGGCAGGTGTCACTGTGATCATCATACCATTTTCACTACAAAATTATATAGAACCGGCAAACCTTGTCCAGTATTTTTTTCCAATGGTTTTTTTTAATTGATCCCAAACAATACAAATCAATCTTAGAAATATAATACATTTGTGTTTCATTTTTACATGAATTCAGTATGCCGTGACACTTCCGTACTGTGTGACGTTTTATATCCCTGGTTCACCCACTCTTTCCGGTGTGTGGGTGTGGGTTACAGTGGCACGTGGGTTTGAAAGGATCATTACATTTTAGAATCGGATATACATTTCATTTTCACATTTTACCTTCTGAGAATTCATTACAAAGGGATAAATCAGATGTGACCCCCCCCCCCCCCTCCCCCTCCTCTCCTCTCCTCCCCCAGGACGCCAGTGAAGCGCACCTCCTCCTTTGTTTGTTATCTAACTTAGATGGAGGTATTAACTTTACAAAATAATATGGTAGCTTTAACAATTTGACAAAGGACAATCGATCGCTCATCATGGAATAAGGAAATTGTAGTATTATGACAGGGGTGGCTTGTCACAGATTATAGTTTATTAAGAGGCTTATCCTAATGTGCAATTGAGGGGGCGGTAAACCTTCCCAATCGGGCTGAGCCGGGGCGCGCGGGGTAGGGGGGGGGTGGTAAAACAATGTAGATGAAGGCTATATATATATAAGTTAGATAATAACCAAAGTAGGAGATGTGGCCCAATGGCTGGTCTCACCTGATATAAACCTTTGTAATGAATCCTGAGAAGGTAAAATGTTAAAGATATCCTTAAAGCTGTGGATAAGACCCTATTGTATTGGCTTTCACTTAACTTTTTGCCACCAGTTTCCCTCTACCGATCGGACGAGACGGGAAAATTAAAGCCTTGGTCACAAATGCCATTACGAACTGCTACGAACGCCGTACGAACGATTTTCAGACGATGGAAGTTTGGGGAGACAATGGAAAAACAAGGAGATTCGTACGAATTTATCGTTCGTACGAACCTTTGTGACCGTAGCATAACTTACTTTTCCATCTTCTTACGTTTCACATTCTTTTGATTTATTGCAGATTTCGGCTGATAGAGAATGAGCATCTAGGATTTTAAAAGGGGGGTCTGAAGGATTTCTTGCATTCAATTGGTCGAAAATTGAAATTTAAGGGGCATACAAATGTTCAAACTGGGGGATGAGTGGGTTGTGCCCCCATGAGTCCTGTACATGTATAATAGAGGTTGATTCAAACCCTTCACACTTCTAACAACGACTCAAACCGTGTACCTTAATTCAAATGAAATAAACAGGCTCAACAAATTATTTCCCTTCTCGCATTACCACCTGCACGCCCGTCTAGGCACACAGTGGTCTATCTCGCTGTGTATACGCCATTGATCTTCATGGCACCCTGTTCCCATTGTGAAATGGGTGCAAGCATTAATGATAATAATCATAATCATTATCATTATTGTTATCATTATCATCAACATTATTATTATTATCATATTATCAATAACAATTTTGTTTACCCAGGGAAGCTTCATCATCATCAATGTTGTTCTTTCTAAGGGCCCTGCAATTATTGTTACCCTGGAAATTGCCAGGTACCCATTTACACCTGGGTTGAGAGTGGCAAATGTGGATTAATGTCTTCCGAAAGACGTTAATAGTGCCAGGCTGGGATTCGAACCCTCCACTCTTGGATTAAATGAACTACTATACTATATGGGGCATATCCAACAAAACGACGTGAATTCCACCCTGACCTTCATTTATCATAATTTGACACTAAAATGTTTTGTGTTTTTTTATCAGCGATCCTGAATTTGTATGCTATCTTCTAAAGATTCATGCATTGTAGCCCTCAAGCCGCATACCGTGTCCATTCCGTTCAAGCCGCATTCCATTTGCGGTTGCGTAACTTTATGAACCACTGCTTTTCAAAAGGATTCTGGAAAAATGTCCAAGAAATGGCAATAAAAGAAAATTATGAATAACCAGAAATAGAATAGGAAGATATGTCATGCAATTATTCAAAAGACTTGACCAACTTATGAAGTAAGGTTGTAAATATGAATCAATCAGGAGAGGCTTCACTGTCTATACATAATACATATATATATATATATATATATACATCTCATCTAATTCTTCTTTTTTTCTATTTCTCTTTACAACGAAATGTATACTTAGAGTAACCTTTCTCTGGCTTCCAATTGCATAAATAAGTTTAATTTACTGGCAATATTTATTCTCATTTCAGCTCTATTTTGGTCTCCTTTTCAAAATATTTAATAATCCACGGCATACCTTACAAGACATAACGTCGCCATATAATAAATACCGTCACAATACTTTCATACAATTTGAAAGGCCTTATATTGTCAACGGCGAGACAGCGGGAGCGAAAAACGAAAAACATTTGAATGCTCTTATTTACCTCTAAGGCCATCTAAACAAAACACAATTACATGCATGTCTAGTTTGTGTATTATTGCTAAGTTGTTAATCTGTAGAATTAAGGAGTTAAAAGTTCAGCGCATCTCTACCCCTCATAAAGCACACATAACATTCACCACATAATCCTATTAACACATGCACCCCCCCCCCCCCCAGCATACACACACACAAACACACACATAATACTATGGACCTTATCTTGGGATAGTTACATGGTTTGGGGATAGGTTATCATTAGGTCATTGTGGCTAGGGTTATGTATAACGTTTCGTCTCGGTTAAGGTGAGTTAATAATTCGGTACGAATTATTCTAATCTGAAACGTAAAAATAATTCCATAAAGTCTTGATCAGAGCCTAGTGAAATAAAAGCTGCTAAAGTACAAACTCTATAGTTTACAGTAGATCGGCTGTAGGACAACTACTCCCTGGACATCCACCCCCGGATAACCACCCCAGACAACTACCCCCTAGGACAAGTACCCCCTAGGTCAACAACCCTCTAAGACGACTACCCCCGGACAACTACCCCCTGGAACGACTACCTCCGGATAACTACCCCCCGGACAACTACCCCCTACGACGACCATCTTCTAGGAAAGCTACCCCGTGAGAACTATCCTAGGGGGTAGTTGTCTGGGGGTAGTTGTCCGGGTGTATTTGTCCGGGGTAGTTTACCGGGGGTAGTTGTCCTAGAGGGTGGTTGCCCTAGAGGGTAGTTGTCCTCGGAGGTAGTTGTCCTAGGGGGTAGTTGAATGAACTACAATACTCTGAATCCAGTCTGCATATATCATTGGTTGCTTCGTCGGGCAAGCCTTGGGCAAGCTTTCGGGTTGTCAAGAACAACCTTTGTCTAAAAAGTATACACATATTTGAATATTTTAGTAAACCGGTCTAGTATGGCACAAGACTGTGTCGTATCAAAAAGAACAATTATTGTTATTACTATCAGTGAACATGCTGTTTTACATTTTAAATATATTTTATTAGGTCAGCATAATTTTGTCGTTTTTACAGTACAGTGTGAGGAGTTATTATTTCAGAAATGCTGGCAAATGTACGCAATATAAAGCGACATGAAAGTACCACAACCACGCACATTCAAGAAAAAGGACAATATCTTTATGTGATTCTTATTTAAAGTTCATCGGGGTTCATCATTGTCATTGCAGGATGTGGTTCTAAATTATACTGGTTTATAACACCTGGTTAAACAATGGGGGCAAACAAGTAACCTATTTTCTGTTTATGTCCTCCGTGACGCTTAAGAATAATGTTAAACCTCAACTATTCGACTATTATTCGTTCTACATTTCATCATCTTTATTTAATGAAATAACAAGTTTCTTTTTGTTTCGCGCAGAAACGAAAGGAGACATGAAGACCTTCGAAATCGACTTTTATTGACGCTATGTCTGTCTGTCCAGAGAATGTACAGTCCACAATAACGAACAAAAGAGGGGGAAAAACTGACCAGACAGATTGACCGTAATGTCTCATTAGACAGTCGCATATCCCGCTTATACATGTAGCAGATACGGCCAACGTCCTAATCAGCATCCCTTTGGCCAAAAACAAGACGAAGGTGTTTCAATTTCTGACTTTTCAATTCCTGTTGCCGAAAGGAAAATGCATGAATGAATAAGTAAGTAAATAAACCATAACTAAATAATCATAGATAAATAAATTGATTATTAAATAAACACACGAATACATAAATGAATGAGTAAATAATCAATTTATGGCTCCTCTA